AAGTTATGGGCCCAGTCCAGAGAGAGGGTCAGAGTGACTAGAGAGCTTAGAGAGAGGAGTAACCCAGTGTGAACTTGCACCAGAGTATGTGGTTTAAATCATGATTAGCAGGCAGCATGGCCTCCGTTGGTGTAATGGGAGTTTTCCTGGTGTCTCGGTTAAATGAGACAAACTACCTCTCCTGGAATGTGAAGATGGAGATTTACCTACGAAGGGAGGGGTTGTGGACAATTGTTACTAATCCATCAGCAGTCCTGGGTGATGGTGACCAGAGGAGAAACAAAAAAGCATTAGCCAGCATAATTCTTTCTTTAGAAGACAGTTAGCTGCTAAACGTGAAAGGTCCCCAGTCTGCAAAACAGTACTGGGAGGCGTTGCACAGTGTATATGTGAGAGAGATTGTGGGCAGTAAAGTGTTGCTGACTAGGAAACTGTATGAGGCACAGCTGAAGCCGGGAGAGTGTATGTCCACACATTTGCAGAATATGAGAAGGACATTCCTTGAGTTCGAAGAAAGGGGAATGACATTTACTGAAGCACACAAGGTGTATGTGGTGCTTAATTCATTGGACAGTTCATGGGACATTCTTGTAACCAGTCTAGAGTCCATGCAAGAACAGGATTTAACCATGGCATATTTAACTGGTCGCTTGTTGAAGGAGGAGCAGAAACAGCTGGAGAGGAGACCAGGAAAGGGAGGAGAGGGCATTCAGCACAGACCAGCATCTGCAACAGTCCAGGATGCCAGTGGCAGAGGACCTGAAAGATTTAACTTTGTGAATAGATGCTACACGTGTGGTTCTGCTGAGCATCTCCAGAGATGGTGTCCTGAGAGGAGGAACAGAGGAGCAGCGAGACAAGGTGCGGATCTAAGCAGCAAATGTGGAGCAGTTCTCCAGTGTCTTTTTCCCTGGCAGCATCAACAACTGAACACACCAGGAATATGTGGTTGTTGGACAGTGGGGCGAGCCAGCATATTGTTAACGATCCACATGTGTTTTCTGCTTTGAAACCAGCAAGGCAAACATGGGTTATTCTGGCTGACAGAGAGCTGCTGTAAAAGTGGACGGTAATGTGTATGTACCAGAAATAGATGCTACATTGTACAACGTGTTATATGTACCTGCTTTAGAGTACAATTTGTTGAGTATATCCATGTTAGACAGGCAGGGTTATGAAGTAGTATTTGCTGGGGGACTATATATCATTAAGAAAAGATGGCAAATATGTGCACAAAGAGTTAAAAAGGATGGTCTGTATGTTCTGGGAATGCAAGATAATAGTTGTGCACGTGTACTTAAGAATGCTCCTACACATGACAATTATATACACCTGTTACATAGAAGATTGGGGCATGCAAGTTTTAACGTATTGAAAAAGATGCCAGACATAACTGAGGGACTGAAGTTAAAGAAATGTAATGTATATTTGGATTGTACTGTGTATAAGGAATCAAAAGCCAAAATGTATCTTGTAAGTAAGAGTGCAAGAACTACAAACAGGGTATTACAATTAGTTTGTGCTGATTTGGTTGGTCCTATGACACCCTCTTTAGGAGGAGCGAGATATGCCTTAGTCATAGTAGACGATTACAATAGATATGGATATTGTTATTTACTGACAAATAAGACTGAAGTATTGCAACAATTCAGGAAATGGGTAACACTCGTAGAATGACAACATGGAAGTAAGGCATGCCAGCTGCAAACAGACAGGGGAACAGAGTTTATATCTGAGGTTTCAAAGGTGGTTAAGCAGTCTAGGTGTACGGCATAGAAAAACAAATCCATAGTCAGCATCTGATAATGGTGTGGCTGAGAGAAGAAATGGTGTTCTACAAACAATGAAAGACACATTCCTTGCTGATGCAGTCATCAGTAAAGCATTCTGGGGAGAATCCATAAAGACAGCAAATTATATCGTTAAAAGGTTATGGAATGAGGCAATACAGGAAACATCATATTTCCTGATGCATAAAAAGAAACCTTCTTTAACATTTAAGAATGCTTGGTANTTGAAGTCCACAAGTCTAAAAAGTGCCTCACCAGGGCTAAAGCTGACCGCACGTCATTGGTATAAAGGTATTTCAAATGAATGTTGGAAATGTAAATGTACAGAAGGGACTTTTTATCATTTATGGTGGATGTGTGATAAAGCAAAGAAATATTGGAGTAGGGCCCATATCTTAATACAGAAAATTCTTAAAGTGAATATAGAAAGAAGACCAGGGATTTTTCTTTTGGGTGTAATGGAAAAAGACTTAGGAAAATTTTTTGGAACTCTGATGTTATATATGTTGATGGCAGCAAGACTACTTTATGCACAGAAATGGAAGGTTACCTCGATCGATCCCCACAATGGATGAATGCCTGCAAAAACTGATTGAGTTAGCAGAGATGGCTAAATTGACTGTTTTGACTAAAGAAAAAAATACAAATGCCTTTATTTCTACTTGGAAACCGCTTCTAGACTTGAGGTGGAAAAAAATGAAACTTTGATTTTGGTTTTTACCGATTAGATAGATTTGTTGTTATAAAAATGGCTACTTTATATTATTATGTAAAAATAAAAAGTTGAGGTTAGATGTTAATGCTTTATTTTACTGCACCAAAGGAGTTGGAAGTCAATGCCTTTTTTTCTTTTTCCCCTTGCTTTCCCTCACTTTTTTCTTCCCCTTTCCCTTCCCTAATTTCCCTACTATTTACTTTTGTATTCTCTTTGTATGCCATATTATAAACTAATAAAAAATTGAATGTAAAACAGAATGATCCCATGGTCAGTGGTTTTGAAAGCTGCTGAGAGATCAACTAGAGACAGGATGGATGCCCCCATTCCACTCCTGCCAGAAATCATCCAGAAGCACAACCAATTCCATTTCCATCCCATGTCCAGACCTGAATCCTGACTGAAAGGAGTCTAGATAATCCTCTTCATCCAGGATCCTCTGAACCTGCTTCACAACTACCTTCTCCACAACTTTCCTTTAAAAATGGAGGTTAGACACTGGATGAAAATTGTCCAGTATGATGGGATCCAGCGATGACTTCTTGAGGAGGGGGCAAACCAATGTCTCTTTTAAGGGATGAAGGAATCACCCCCTCTCTCAAGGATGAATTAACCACCACCAGAACCCAGCCACATGTCCCTCCCAGGTAGCCTTAGCCAAACAGGTGTGGCATGGATCTAAGGAGCAAGTAGCCAAGCTAACAGTCATAAGGACCCTATGCACTTAATCAGGCCCAACTGGTTCGAACTTTTCCCAGATAACAGGGCAAGACTGTGCCCTAAGAGTCTCCACTAGACCTGTACCAAGGCCATCTAACTGGGAACATGTTCCAGTGATTTTGTCTGACAGTTATTCCAAAAATAATTCTGCCCAGCCGGAAGGGCTCAGGTCACCCAAAACAAGGCTGCTAGACAGCAACCTGTTGACACGAAGGAGGAGAAGTGTTATTTTGCCACCCTTACCTCCACAACGTAGGCCTTAATAGCAGGTCTTAGCCAAGTTTCATTAATTTGGTCCTTCATTGACCTGCAGCAGCACTCTAGATGTCTTTTCTCCCATTTGATTTGTCAGCTGCAACAGGATCCATGGGGAGAGGTCTCATGGGCAAAATCCAAACCAAGGCCACAGCCACCCTCTCAATCCAAGCAACAACTAAGATCTCTGTCAGACCATGTAGCAGACCGTCAGGAACAACTCCCAGCTCCCTCTGAACCCTTGCAGGTCTATCAGTTGCCGAGATGGATCAGTCTAATAGGTCCTGCCTCCTTGTGGCAGGGAGCAGTGGCAGAGAAGTACAGACTTTAAAGTAAAACTGTCTTTCCAATCAACATTGCATCCTACAAATTGTTTTTGTGTAGTTAAGAATTATTTATCCATTGCACAAATGGGGCATTAAATAACTGTTATTATACAGCACATTGTAGCCATTTTAGGAATATAATGTAATTCGTATATATATGTCACTGTTAATGTGTGAATTTAGGCATTTTATAGAATCCCTAGGAAATCTATAGAATGCTTAATATTTCACACGTCTCCTAGGCATTCTATGCAATGCCAAAAGGAAAACCAGAAAAGTATAAAATACTCTTGCTAAAATGCTGTTCTAGTCTTTTTGTTGCAACAAGTAGGTCAATACTGGTCTTTTTCTCTTTTTTAAAAAAGTAAGAAAGTCTACTTTATTTTGCATGTCTTCTTTCATTTTCATATACGTCTTTTCATGACTCTCTTTTCATACTTTGCCTAAATAGTTCTTGTCATTCTGCGTAATACCTAGGTATTATATATAATGCCTAGGGAAAGTATATAGCATATTAAAATAACACAGACGTTTTATACTTTGCCTAAAAATGTAACCACATTCTATAGATTTTCTAGGCATTCTATACAATGCCAGCTTTTCACAAATTGCCACATTTACATACATACCAGGGATGGGTTCTGGCAGTCACTACTGACGGTTTGCTCATGGCTGTGCCATGTGCACGCTGCGTACACATGCGCAGTGCACTAAAAATTGCTCTGCGCATGTGCAGAAGCAAAAAACAAGATGGCAGCGCCTATGACACCACCCGGAGAACTGGTTCGGGGCATGGCAGGCCTGGGTTGCTGCTAGTTTCAGCTACCCAGGCCGCCAAACCACTACCGGTTCAGCCAAACCAGTCCGAACCGGTAGGAACCCATCACTGATACATACAGTATATACACACACATATACACAGTATGTATGTAAGTGTGTATGTATATTTATCTGTCTGAACACCATGGTTGATAACAGGCTGATTATGGTATACAATTGTGGGAATCTGTTTCAGCTTTTGAGGCTTTTTGATATAGGTATTTCTGTATGAATAGGTCATACAAGTAAACATTGTTTGGGAAGCTGTACCTGTAATAATTGTTTCACATTCTATATCTTTTTACTTTGTTAGCTTCCAACATGTCAGACAATATGTGTTGTAAAATCTAAATTTATATTACAGAAATGGCCTTCAAATTTTCCTACAAATCCTGAAGCTATTGAGTATACCATTTTAAAAATGGTTAACATTTTTAAATAGTAATTTGACATGTGTTTGTTTTTTTTTCATTCACAGCATATAGCACTTTCTATGTTGTTGGGTTAATATTATCCATGCAGATACCTTTTGTTGGATTTCAGCCAATTAGGACAAGTGAGCACATGGCAGCTGCAGGTAAGAAAAAACAATGTATTGAAAATATGCACTATGAAGTTATAATTTCCTTTTTTAAAATATAACTTTATTAAGATTTTAATAAAGAAAGAGAAAAGCTAACAGAAACTAATATTTAGAATAAAGAAAAAAATGAATGTGTAGAAAAGAAAGAAAATCTAAAGAAGTAGGTTCTTGATTTTGTTTATAGCAGTAAAAAGTGTAATTTCATCTCTTACTCTATCTCTGTTTGTGTTGGCATATATGCTGCCCTGAAGTTCTGAAAGAAAGGTGTGATGTAAATCACATAAAAATAAAATAAACCTTGTAACATGAAAGTTCTTAGTAAGCATAACTGAACAATTTTGCCTAGCCACTATAGATATTTACAGATAGTCCTGGAGTTATTGTTAATACCTGTCTCTGCCCTGGGGTGTTCCGTTTCTAATTTTGGATCTGTCAGCGGCGCTGGCTAATTTTTAAAGATCCAAACTNCCAAGAGGTCCCGGAAGATATCATTCATGAAGTGTTGGAAGACTGCCGGGGCATTGGTCAACCAAACGGCATGACCGTGTACTTGAAATGTCCGTACTGGGTGCCAAAGGCGATCTTCCATTCATCCCTCGCCCTGACTTGGACAAGGTTATAAGCGCCACGCAAGTCCACTTTCGTGAACACCGTTGCCTCCCGGAGCCGCTCCAACAACTCAGGAATCAGGGGTAGCGGGTAATGGTTACGCACCGTGATGGCATTCAGGCGACGGTAATCGCAACAAAGTCTCAGATCCCTGGTCTTCTTTTTAACGAAAAAGACTGGGGCAGACAGTGGCGAAGACGAGGGCTGGATAAACCCCCGGGTGAGGTTCTTGTCTAGAAAGTCCTGCAATGCGGCCAACTCCGGCTCGGACATGGAGTACAGGCGACCCGTAGGGACCTTCGCATCTGATACCAAATCAATGGGACAGTCATAAGGCCGGTGCAGCAGCAGTTGATCCACCTCCTGCTTGCTGAAGACGTCCGCAAACTCTGCTAAATCCGGTGGCACGGCCACCCTGGGTGAGCTGAGAACCTGGCCTGCGCAAACATTGCAGGGACAGGAACGTGATCAGGTTCTGCAACCAATAAATCTGAGGGTAGTGCGCCCGCAGCCAAGCCAAGCCCAGAACCATGGGGAAATGCAGGCCCGAAGCCATGTAAAATTGGATGGCCTCCTCGTGCTCCCTGAGGACCAGGCGCAAGGGCTGCGTGCCGGCCTTGATAGGCCCAGATAGAAGCACCCGGCCGTCAATGGTCTCGACCCGCATCGGTGGGTCCACCGGACACAGAGGCACGTCGTACTTTGTACCAAATGCCGCATCCATAAAGTTCGTGGTAGCCTCGGAATCGACCAAGGCATGGGCCGGAGTTCCATGCGGACTACCCGACAAGAGGATGTGTGCTGCTAAGATCATGTGCCGTGGAGGCCCATCCACCTCTGTTTCGGCGTGCGCCCGACCTACAGTTTCCCTCCGATCGGGCTCCGCCCATTTCCTGACACGTTGTTCTGGAGCTGAGGGGTAGGCCTCAGACCTCGCAACCCCCCTACGCTTCTTGGGGCAAGCTGTGGCCAGGTGTCTAAGATACCCACAATAAAAACACGACCCCCCTGCGCACCGTCTGTCCATCTCTGTTCGCGACAAGTGGGGTTTGGCGGCGCCCAAATCCATGGGCTCCTCCCGTGGAACTAGGGTCTCCTCCGGGATTGGCACCTCACTGGTCTCATGGGACGTGCAGCGAGGCCTCCGCCTCTGCACCCGGGTGTCTATCCGGAGGCACAAGTGGACCAGCGCGTTGAACGTCAGCCTGTCCACCTGCACCAGCTCATCCTGCAGGTCCTCCGACAGCCCGTCCTGAAAAGTGTCCATGAGGGCTGGCTCATTCCAGGCTGAATCCTGACTAAGCAGCCGGAATTCTCTGACATAATCCTGCAAGGAGCCACTGCCCTGCTGCAGCGTCTTGAGTAGTCTGGTGGCTGTTTCCTCCTTAATGGGGTCATCATACATCAGCCGAAGGTGTTCACAAAAGCCCCTAAAATCATCCAGCAGAGGGCTAGCCTGGGATAGCAACGGAGTAGCCCAACAAGCTGCTGTGCCTGAGAGCAAGCTGATAATAAAACCCACCTTAGCCCAATCAGTGGGAAAGTCCTCCTCTCTCAAGCTGATAAACAGCTGGCATTGTCCCAAGAAAGCTGGAAACATAGCTTGTCTGCCCTCAAACTTGTCCGGCACAGCTACCGGACATTTTCTCCGTGGCTGGGGGGGGAATAGCAGGCCCCTGCAGCTGAGCTATCTGACCAGCCAGCAGAGCAATCTGCTGTGCCAGCTGGGCGTTCTCACCACGTAATGGCGACAGATAATCTCCCCCCAGCATTTTCATTTAGATGTTAAACAGTGGGGAGAGCACCAAACCAGTGGTGAAATTCAAATAAGAGGCTACTGGATTTAGAAGGCCATAAATTAAGATTTGGTTGGCATGGCTACCTATGGTATGATAAAGTTAAAGTAAATGTTGATTTCAACAACCATTTTGTCAGACATGCTATTTTGAGAGTCTGGAATAAATATAAAACAAGGTTTTCCACAAAGGTGCTGTCAACTCCTAACGTCATAGTGAGAGAAGGGGGGAGCGCATGCCGCGCATACTGTCAGCTGAAGTCAGATCTCAGTTTCCTGCAGCAGGCTTGGGAGGGGTGGACCTCATTGGGGAATGTGATTTATGACACAGACTGAGGGGAGGGAAGGAAGAGATTTAAAGTTCAGCTATAACTCAAACCTTATGTCAGGGTTCCAAATAACATCCAAAATTAAAACAGAGTCCAAGGCAAAGTATTGCTCAAATTTCCAATTTATTAAGAGAGTCATGTTGGCACATCTGTGAAAACCCGATTCTGAGCTTCCCGGTTTTCCCCACCCAGTTGAGAGTTCATGATCTTGCCCCCACACCCACAAGTCCATCACATGGTCCAATCTTCCACTGCCATGCTGGCAGTTCCACCCATCCAGTTCCAGTCAGGTGCAGCGGTGTAGAGACAAAGGATGACCTTGGATTCTAGAAAGGAATTTTATTTTGGAAACATCACATTGTACTCCTTACTATTTCCCCCTCCCAATTTCCTACTAATGAAATAGCACAGTAGAATAGAATATTAGTGTGGCAGACCTAAGATCCCAAAAGGGGCCAGCTGCAGGCCTGACAGTTTAGATCTGACTATGAAAAGATCCTGCCTATGGTGCTCCTAATAGATGACTAGTTTTGTATTGAAACTTGACTCGATATTCATGAATCAATTAGGGCATTCTTAGGAAAGCTGACAGGCAGTCAGATCTGCTTTTAAAATCTATCAAGAATTCCAGGTCTCCTGAATCCTAGACCTCCAATCGATCCACTGATATCAGGGGTGCCTGGAGGGAAACTCAGGCAACCATGGCAGAGGGCCAGCTATCCGAAGATTGCCTTATTGCAGCCAGACTGCAGCCTGACCTCAGACATCAAAGCCGAGATGGGCAAAGGAAGAGGAGATGAATATTCAACCCCTAAAGCAGCTAAAGCAGGAGCTCCCCCACCCCAATGCCCAGAAAAAGAGAAGGGCCCTGAGCGAGCTGGGAAGAGTAGAGGAGATGCTGGACTGGAACCAAGCCAGGCTCCCAAAGCCCCCAATGGAGCCCCTGGGGAGTTCCATAGAGTAACGGAGGGAGGAATTTGACTGGGCCACCCTCCATGAAGAGAGGCCATTATGCAGGCTGAAAGAGAAGGGAGGAGCAGTGGATCCTCTTGAGGTGACGTGAAGCACACGGGAATGAAGCCCCCCTTCTTCACCCATCAGAAGAAGGCTAAACCCAGTGCCTCTCCCATGTAGGGTGCCCAGGGCAGACAATCTCCCCCTCCCTCTGAACTAGAACTGAGGAATATCTCCAGACATATCAAGCACAAGCATAGAGGCCGACAGGAGGAGGGAGGGGCAGTGCTGATCGAACCACCTCGATTCAGGGGAAAGTTTGATAGGGACTCAGAGGAGTTAGACATATTCCTTGACTCAGCTGAGATCCACCTAGAATGCTATGGACAACTCTACTCATCCCCCAGAGCCATAGTGAATACTATCACAGAGGGACTAGAGGGAGAAGCAAGGGGATGGCTACAAGCCCTCCACAAGAGGAGAGCCCTCCAACTGCAAGGCGTAGAGGACTTCCTACGACAGCTAGAGGCCAGATTTGAGGAGGTAGAGGAGGACCTTTATGCAGAAGATGAGCTCAGCAACCTAAAAGAGAGGGGCCACCCCATCAATGAGCACATCCGCGAATTTAGGAGAGTCATTGGAAGGCTAACCCCTTTATCAGAGCATCTGTTAGTGTATTTTTTGAGAACAAGTCTAGACAAGCAGATTGCCCAGATAACTACTTACTGCGTCATCCCAAACCGACTCTCTGAGTGGTTCTGAGTAGCAATAAAAGTCGATGGCGGATAGCGTGCTAACGACATGAGAAAGCAACTGGACACGAAAGAGAGAGGTCAACTCGACCTGAAAACGCCCGGCTGACGGGGACCCACAGCAACACAGTAGGCCTTGAAACCAGCCCGCCCCCTCAAAGTCCACTGAAATGCTTCAGATGTGGGGGGGGGGGCACATGGCATCTGCGTGCATGATCCCAACCCTGATGCCAAGGCCAGAGCCACTACCCAGGGCATGACTGGAAAAGGGCTACAAACGGGACACCCACACATCCCGGAAGGGCCTCCAAGCTGCTGAGGTCCCTTCCCACCCAGGTGAAAGGGGGGACCCCAGGCAACAACGACCAGTCACCAGAATCCTATGACAGTGATGACAAGGGCAAAAACGACCCAATGGCGAG